TGCAGCCCTGTCGTGTCTGGGGCGGAGGGTGGGGATCAGGCTTTTATCTCTGGACTCCAGGAGAACAGCTCTTGTCCTGTCAGCCGCTGTATGCAAAACACTGACTCAGGTTACCATGGTGCTGCCGAGGGAAGAATTACATTGGGAAACCGCATTCCCTACGATACAGCGTGCCAGACCACACTGGGGACAGCAGCTGGAGAAAGGGAGAGGGCGAACTGTAAAATGAATAATAGGAGGTAAAGACGGAGAGCTCGGGATCTTGGGACATAACAGCTAGGCCTGCCTGGTGGATGTTCCACAGTTATCCAGGGCGTGGATCCTGGGACATAGCTAGTAATCACACTCCCCGCTGATGGAGTCTGGTTTATGTGTGTTTTGTGTTGGCCGTTCACTGTTGGAGCTAGAGTTACTCAGACTGTGGTCCCTATTACGTCTGAACCCAGGTGTCTGCAGCAGGAAATTCAAATCTGGTTTACCAAATTGGGTTTTTCTTTCTCAGTTTTGAAGAATTCACAAGGTTCAGACCCACGGGCCTCACCATATTTAAAAATTCTACTAAAATGCTGAACCGCAGGACAAGGACCATGATATTTAAATGTCCCATCGTCCCCAAGATACACTGGAGGTAGATTCTATAACACTTGAGAAAAGGTGGACTGTGCCATTTCCCATGGTGGGGGGGGGTTGTAGCCACTTCTATTGGCCTATAGCTACTGTTCAATCTCAAAATACAAAAAAACCCTTTTCTTCTCCCACACCTGGCCTGAGCGCAAAACCTGTGCTCCTGAGCAGAGAGGAATGGCAGCTCTGGAGCTCTTTGACGCGATTTCAATTACTGCCTCTTAGATCTTCTTTGCTCAGAAATAGCTCATTAGCGGTATTTTTCCTCATCATCCTTATTTCCTGAAACACTAAATTAAATCTTCTCTTCCGTTGTAGGAGAGTGCATTCTATCGATTAAACCGAGGGAGAAAACGGAAGGGCTGGAACTGAATTTTCAGCAGGTACGGACGGCTTTCCTAACACAAGCGCTTCTCAATATTATTTTCTCAGGGCTTAAGCAGGGGGCTTGTTCGGTACTGAACTGGCCTTTTTCTTTTTCCACCGCCAGCCAAGGGCACTAAAAAGGCAGGGAATTGTTCTCCTTGCCGCCTGCTTCCCGGGTTGCTGTTTTGTCTCCTCCGCGGCCTTCTTCCACGCAACAGGGCTCCCCACTGTCTCCGGGAACCCCTTCCCCCTGCGTGGAGGCCTGTAGGGCAGAATCTGTATGGTACTCTGTACCCATATAGTGGTAGGAGTGGTGAACTCCTGCTGAATTCACATGCTAAACTCTAACCTTCACTCCTGCTTGAGCACAAATGCTTCTCCCTCCCTGTACTGAACTCCCATCTTCTGTACTAAACCCCCTGATAAGAAAGGAATGTTTGAGGTGCTTTCTGAGTCCTGGAGTTTCTTGAGAAGGCTACCTCAAAGGGCAAAGAGAAAAGTATATATAAGCTGTGTAGAGCCATATCCCCCTCTGAGCAACACAATAATAAGCCTCAATGTGTTGCTCCTTGTAAATAAAGCTTGGCTTGACGAACGGACACCTCAGGCTCGGATCTCTTGGTTTCTACACTGCTGGAGCCTGCGCTCTGCACAGCCAGCCTGCGTCAGAAACCCAGGCAAACCTCGCTTCCCCCTGTTCCCCCGAGGCATGTCTGAGCGCCCGCGCTAGGGGCGCGGCCTGCCGTTATCCACGGCCCGGAGCAGAACATGGCCGTTAGCAGCTTGATGACTGATGTCGTCATGGCCGGCTGTACAACAACAGCTGCGAGAGCCCAGGCTGTCACTCCTGTCGGATTCTGCAGCCACAGCACCGCTTAAACTAAAGAAGCTTAGGAGCAGGGGGAAGTGTCCTATTGCTCTGTGTTATAGGCTGGAACAAAAATTGTCTGTTGGTTTTGGGGGGGGCGGGGGGTACAACTCCCGTCTGGAAAGGCTGTGACCCAGCCGAATCTCTTTAGAACTTCAGCATATAAAGAACTGGGGACGTGTGTTCAGCTGCTCCAGTTAAGCCAATAATCAGGTAGTTAAAGGCTGAACTGGAATGGAGACCCGCAGGCTGGAATCAGATTAGCTCCCTCTCTCGGCTTACACCAGGGCTTCGTGCTGCTGGTCCTGGACGTTCACAGGCCTGCTGGCTTTCCCCGCAGCCCAAATCTCGGTCACACAATTTAACCCTTCGTCCGTTTAAGGAAGAGGCTTACTTCGAGCAGTTCGACAGTTTTTCAGCTCTTGAACGGATGGGATTGACCTGCGAAACCTCGCCGTTCCTTTCAAAGCTTGATGGGAACAACCTGTCGGCCGGATGAGGGCGCGGAGCTGGGCTGCAGTGAGACCCAGTGGGAGTGTGGGCCTCCAGGAAGGGGCCTGTGAGGCCCTGCTCTCGCTCAAGAGCACCCGATCGACTGCTGTAGGGCAGGCTTCTGTAGGGCGGGTGTTATTTCAGCCTGACTCGTCCCATGCTTGCTAAGATGACACCAGTCCAGTTTTTCTCCCGGGAAGCGAATGCTTCATGAGAGATGCCAAAACGGCATCAGCTCTCTGTTGGAGCAAAGGATTCTCCGCGCCTGGATAAGACTGGAACGTGTCTCCAGGCTGGCCAGAGCAGGAACCGGCGATCTGGCAGGAGATGTTCACAACTGAACTGGAGCCTCTTAATTTTAGACGGGTGTGAAGAACGGTGAACGTGATCAAGGACTCTTTCTGTGCCCAGCGAGTCAGATGGTTACATGACTGTCTTCTGGACTGGCTGGGAGGGTCGGAGATCAGGCGTGTTCACAAGAGACTCGCGTCACATAGCGGCCTGAGCTGCTTCTTGATTCTTGATTCAAGATGGCGCCATGTTAGTGGCAGCCTCCTACAGCAGCTCTGTGTCTTTTTGTTTCTTTCAGTTAGTTAATGCTAGTGTGTTAGTGTTTTTTCTTCATACCTTTGCCGGCAACTAGATTTGCGATCACAACATGTTGGATACTAGGATTATTATATAATTCGTTACACTGTGGCTGTGTTGTGTGTGTTAAGCTGCTGTTGCACTGCAATTTCCCTCACGGGATCAATAAAGTATCTATCTATCTTCTCATCTGGCCAGCCGCTGGCCTCTCGCACGTATAATCCAGCACGGGCCGACCCGAATCCTCGTCTCTTTCCCCTTCCAGAACATGAGCGACGCCATGGCCGTCCTGCCCAAGCTGTCCACAGGCCTGGACGTCAACGTGCGCTTCACGGGGGTGTCGGATTTCGAGTACACGCCGGAGTGCATCGTCTTCGACCTGCTGGACATCCCCCTGTACCACGGCTGGCTGGTGGACCCCCAGGTACCCTGCCCTGAGCACGAGAAGAGAGCTCTATCCGTCCTCTCCGTCGTCAAGGAAAGGGTTGCGTCTTTTTGGCTGCAGTCTTTGCTTTTTTTTTTTCTGATCAGTTTTGCCCATTCAAGCCGTAGACATTCGTCTTTTAGCAAACCATTCTAACAGGTTGTTTTTCCCCCCCCCGAAGAGCGTTTGTAACACTAAGGCGAACGGAAGCTGATGGGACAAGAGTGCCAGGCTGTCCTTTTACCTCTCGCGTACAAATGTCCCACAACGATTAAAAAAAATAAAAAGGCTAACAGTGCAGTAAGTTTAACAAAGAGGAGCAGTCGCTGTGTAGGCCATCTTCCTGAACCATCCACTGCTCTGCTCTTTGCTACAAAAAACCACACCCAGTTGTGCAAGTTTAAACCACATCATGTTTTTCTAGGTGATTGTTTCTCAATATTGTGAGCTTTACCCTTGCCCCAGGGGAGGATGTGGTTATCGCACTAGTTCATTTCACAAGCTAAAGACATTCAGTAGCGGCGGGGGTGGCAGACCCACCTCTTGCTGAACCCACCGGGCTCGGCTGATCTCCGTCTCCTCTCTCCCCTCCCCAGAGCGTCGAGATGGTGCAGGCCGTGGGCAAGCTGAGCTACAACCAGCTGGTGGAGAAGATCATCGACTACAAGCACTCCTCCGACAGCAGCAAAGTCAGCGAAGGTATGGCCACAGGGCAGGGGCTTCCCAACTCTCGAAACGGGGCTTTGTGGACAGTTGTAGCGTGCAGACTTCATTGTCCTTTAGGCAGTAAACAGCGTGGAATGCAGTAGGATCTCACTGAATCAGGCTTACCTTGAAGTGTGTGTCAGAGAAGCCGGGGTATTCCCTAGAGCAGTGGTGATGGTTACAGCTGGACACTGGGACCAGACCTGGTCATTGAGGTACCCAATCCCACAGGCCTTAGAGTTCTCTAACTATTAATGACTCAGATGTTACAGGTACTTAATAACACAACCGGTGGACCTAGTAACACTTATGACTACAGATGAAATGGAAATTTTCTGTCAGGAAACTATCCTGCTGATCAGTCAGGAACCACTCCCAGCTCTCCCACTCCTGCTCATCAGTCAGGAATCACTCCCAGCTCTCTCATTCTCCTGCTGATCAGTCAGGAATCACTCCCAGCTCTCTCACTCTCCTGCTGATCAGTCAGGAATCACTCCCAGCTCATCAGTCAGGAACAATTAACGGGTCAGTTGGCTGTTTCTCCTTCTCATGCTCTGAATAATGTGGATCTTAAACCCACGTGCAGCTCTTTGATCGCGTGTGAAGTGTTTGACCTCTCCCGCCCTGGCAGGCCTGGTAGCGGAGCAGTTCCTGGAGTCCACGGCGACCCAGCTGTCGTACCACGGCCTGTGTGAGCTCAGCACCACGGCCCGGGAGGGGGAGCTCTCCGTCTTCTTCAGGAACAACCACTTCAGCACCATGATCAAGCACAAGGTGCCTGGAGACTCTCGGACTCTGTGTTTGAAAGGAAGAGTGACAGGGCAGCTCAGCATCAGCCATTAGAAACACGTTAATTGGCAGCTGATCTCATAGGTCTACCCTCTAATAATAAGCACTACATAATTTTAATGAAACAATTCTAATATACTTTTCTGGATTCTAAAGGACCAATACATTACTTCATACTGCACCAATATCAGTTAATTGTAGAAATGCCATAAATACTTTAAATATTTAAAGTATTTTAAATACTTTAAATCATGTTTGCCATAAGTTGTAGCAACATCCACACGTGGGACGTAAATTCATTACTGCAGTCGAAAAGTGCCAACTGGAGGGTGCAAATTGTGAACCAGTGGCAGTGTCGCCGCCCCTGTGGTCAGATCGCTCACGGGCGCATGGGCTCCTCCTCCTCCTCCTCTCCCAGGGCCACCTGTACCTGCTGGTGACGGACCAGGGCTTCCTGCAGGAGGAGGGGCTGGTGTGGGAGAGCCTGCACAACGTGGAGGGCGACGGCAACTTCTGCGACTCCGACTTCCTCCTGTGCCACCCGCCGCCGCGGGCGTCGCCCGCCCCGCCCCTCACCGCGGCGCAGGCTCAGGCGCAGCAGAGGCAGATCGACCAGGTGAGCGAGCGCGGCCCCCGCGTCCCCCCCCGGAGTCCGGACACGCCCCTCTCTCTCATCCCCACAGAATCACTGTGACTGGACTGGAATAAGAGCTGGATCAGGGTTTTTCATGGGCTTCTGCTTCCTTGTAAAACTACTTTGTCTAATCACATTCATTCTGGGAGCTGGGATATGGTTAGGAAGCCTTTGCTGTGTAAGCTGACTGGCCAAAATATTAGGAACTCTTGCCAAGTAATGTTACATCTAAACATACATCTTGAACTGGATGTGGGCTGTTTTGAGGATGGTAACTGTAGTGGGGTGAATGGTCCATTCTACCATTTCCTCTTCATTAGGACTGAGATCTAGGGATTGTTGTGGTCTCACGTTCCTCATCTCTAGTTACCACGAGAGTTGATACCACTAAAGGTACTCCCTAACCACTGTGAGTATCTGTTTACATCACAGTGGGGAGCAGGAGCTCCTAATAATTTGGCCAGAGAAGCCTACAGGCAACCTGCATGCAGGGAAGTGCCACCTGCTAGTCCAGAGCGCGCTGATCACATCAGATCCTTCTCCTAGTAAAACTGCTCTAGAGTTCTCCGAGATTGGAACAAGATAACAGCTAATAGGACGTCTGGCCTTTCTTTGACAGTGCATCACTTGCCTGCATGCTTTTATCAGTGTATTAGTTTGGCAGTATCCCAGTGCCTCTGCTTCTGTGTGTTTTGGTAACCTCTTAGACAATTCTTTGGGTAAAAAAAAACAGTTTTCTAGTGTTGGTGCAAAGATACCTTTTAACACGGTTTCAGTTCCCTGTCTGAAAGCCCTTGAGAGTGACCGGCACTCTCCGCTTGTGCTCGTGCAGGATTACCTGGTGGCCATGTCCCTGCAGCAGCAGAGTCCGCCGCCCATCAGCGATCTGGAGCTGGCCAGGCAGCTGCAGCAGGAGGAGTACCAGCAGCAGCAGGCACAGCCTGCTCAGCCACCGCCTCAGGTACTGCGCCCGCCCACACTGGTGCTGCTGGAGGGGATCCCCATGACCTGGAAAGAGCCCTGCGTGGGGTGTCTACTTGTATATACTTGTAATACTTGTAGAAGGAATTCATAATATTAATGATCAATTCTTTTGATTTTTGGAATTATTGTTTCTCTTTTCCAGGTCAGAGGTCAGGCGTCCGGGAGGCAGGCAGCGGAGAGACGCCGGCCCGAAAAGAAGGAGGACTCGGACTGTGCCATATTGTAACCACCCCCCCCCTCCTCGTCTGAACCTGCACTCTCTTCCCCCGCCCCTGTCCAGAGCAGGTGACCTTCCTCAGCCCCGGGCCCCCAGGAGGAAGCGTGAAGACGATGGTAGGCTGGGAGAGGTGCGCTGCGCTGAGAGCCCACAGCTCCCAGACTCCTTCCACTGCCACGGTGATGGCGGGCCTGCTGGTTTCACCACTGTTTCACATCAGTGCTGTACCAGAAACGCACAAAATCTAGACCACAGCAGCCCACAGGGCGCTGCGTTAGTCTTCATCCAGCAGGATCTCTTATTTCCAGCTTTTATATAACTGACCCTTACTAAGTTATTCGGCCGCCATCTGATTGAAAGTAATTTGGAGTAAACGTTTGCCGCGGAGCAGTGCACTTCCCTGACAGGACAGCTGAAGACCCCGTGGAAAAGGGAGTCCAAAACTGTGTCCAAAGGTGGACTAAGATCCCTGTTCCCAGACCTGGGGGGGGCTGCTGGGGAGCTCAGCAGGTTTCTGCCAGAAGGACTGGGCTGCCCCTGCTGTCTGATGCAAGGCCCAGGTTAGCAGTGAGTCATAGGCCTGGTGTCCGTCAGGTACTGGTCTTTCAACATGGTCAGCTTTTTCATATATGTTGTGTCTCACCCAAACGTTAAGTATTATTCCAAACGTTTGGGTTACCGCTTTAAAAATGGTTACTCTCCGTGCTCTCTGCACAGCAGTGAAGCATCCTGTGGTTAATAGCATTTAGAACGGTGATGCTGTAGCCTTCCACCCGGACACATGGACTGAATTCATGTCTGTTATGGTATCAGGTACCTGAGGGCGATCTGTATATGACCACATTTGTGGATTATCTTCATCCACATGAAGTGAAACTGCAAATGGAAGTACTCTTTACACCAAACTGCCCATAAAACATCACTTATTTTCCAGAATATTATATTTTTTCTTAAATGCAGGCTGTTAGGCAGATTGCTGTCAGGCCTCCAGAATGCCCCCCTAAAGAACTCTTAGAATAACTACCAGCCACTTGGCTTCCCAAACCATGTTTGCACTGTATCTGAAATCCTCAGCCTGCTCTTACAGCTAAAGTGGATTAAGACCTGAAAATAACCCAGACTTTTGTACAGTACTGTATATATGTGCGATAAGATCTCTGTCCATTGCCATCTCACCATGGGAGAGAACCACATAGTTACCCATCAGAAAAGAGGAATTTTACCTGCCAAAAATCTCCGTACCTTGGCCAGGCTTGGCCAGAGGTCTTCTCTGGTGTCTCTTCGCAGACAGTGTGCCCACAGCGTTTAAATCGGTCACAGGAACAGTTGTAGCAGTGTTTTTTCACATCTCGGCTCACAGCTGCGAACCCTGTGCGTGCACACGGGAGAAGGAGGAAGAGCAGGCAGCCTCCTCCAGGCCACTCGTCATTTCACAGCGCCCTGTATTGGGAATCTGCACTGACTGAAGTAGGGTGGGGGGTGACCCTCGCCGACAGCAGGAGCAGAGAGCGCCCTGGCTGGAGAATCGCACCCATCTCTCTCAGCTGCGTTTCTCTAGTCTCGCGCTGCCTCTTGGGACATCAAGGTCCCAGTCAGCTAGTGACAGACTCCAGGATATACAGCTAAACCTGCACTTGGGCGAGCACCTTTACTGGTAAACTCATGTGCAGCTACAAGAATAGTCTCTTCAAACTTTACTTACTAGGCATCTGAACTAGAGGCATTGCAGCATTGAAGCGCAGTTTAACATGCAGTATTGATTCTGCTTAATTAATTAGATCTGCAGCTGTACTGGTTTCCCTTACCAGCAGCATTTCAAATGGAGAAAGATAGCCAGGATGTGGCTCCGTGGAAAACTGGTTTCTAGACCGCTGTTGGCAGTACAAGCCAGGCAACTGAATCCTCTTTCTGGCCCCAAGGGGTAAGTGCAATAGCTCATTGCACAACATGACAGGATCCATGCTTCTCGACAGTGATATAAGTGAAGCCGTGGTCTCGAGAACAGTGTAGGGACCTGCCGGAGGCTCGTAAGCACTGTAGCTAGAGAAACAGAGTGTCATTCCCTTGCTAGCAGGCTGGGTCTCTTCTGCTTTTGTAGCTAGAGGACCAGACGTTCTGTGGCCCTGCCTGGGACAGCCTGCCCCTTCAAGCACGATGGGAGCCCTCTGCCCCGAACCGCCTGGGGTATTTGGACTGTCTAGTCTTTCTTTAGTTACGGCTGGCACTGTGGACAGGCAAAGCAAAGGAAGTGACGTGGTTTAGGCATTCAGAAAGTCACACTCCGAAGTTCCCAAACTCTTCTGGCCTGGTAAAAACAAATCAGAGTGGTGTCAGGCAGATAGGTGAGACTGAGGTGGGGGGTTTGCCATTTCATTGGGGTTTGGTGAACCTGAAGATTGAAACTTTAGGAAAGAGCAACACATCAGAGAAGGGAACACGCAAGCATTTGGAAATCCTGTAAAAGCTTTCGGCCGTCTAGAAGTGCGAACATTTCTGTTAAAAAAAAAAAGCATTTAAAATACATCGGGGGCTGCATTTACTCAACACTAACTAGTCACAAAGATGTCCATGCTCCATCTTTTTACCAAGCTCAAGATTTCTTTGTATTTAATTTTGTCACCTCAATAAAAGAATGTAGAAGATTGCACGTTGGTTTTATTTTCACTTTATTATTCATTTAAACATCTTACATTTCATACAGCACGAGCTCCCGTTTGAGTGGGGCCCAGCAGATTGTAATGTTAATCATTAATAATCACCTTGAAAGATACTGTAAGGCAAGAAGAACAAAGTTCAGTGACTTTTCAGTGTTTAGTGACTTGCGAGAAGTTGAAACCAGATGAACAAGAGCTTCTGTCCTTACAAGGTCAGATAGCCACAGCTGCTAGGGATACGAACCGGTCAGACTCGCCCTGTTTGTACTGATATGACGCGTCATGGAAGATGCTATATGAAAAAAGATGGTCTTTGGATTAACCGGTCCGAAGGAGGGCATCATCCCCAGGCTGTCAGGAGTGCCGTCTCAACGGCGTTGACCACCAGTGGCTTTGCATCCCAGGAAACATGCGCAATATGTCCAAAGAACGGATAACTGTATCCCAAGTTACCTGGGGCCCACAGGGAGAAGCTGCTTTGCTGCTGGCTGAGCTACCCGACGTTAGGAGCTCCACAGGGCTCGAAGGGAGCTGGTGCCGATCCGAAGACTCGGCACGAGAGAGAGGTGCTCCCAGGTCTGCTCTACTCCCATGGGATCGTCCCGGGTACGAGACACTGCCTACGTGGAGACGACAGAGCTGAACGGGCAGCGCCGTTCCGATTTCCAGCTCCAGGTTCGGTTCTCATCCAGTACCGGGCAGAAAAGAAATCGAACATCACAGGTCGCACGGTGACGGATTCTCCAAAAGGGGGCGCACGGGTGAGCCCATGTCCGTGAGATTGGGGGTACCGTTTCTTAAGGCCGGGGATTTCCCAGGGCTGCCCTAGAGCTCGCAGGTCCGGCTCTGAGGCACGGGTACGAGTCATGAGGGTTGCAGAGCCGAGGCCAGCAGACTGAATACTGGCCACTTCAAAACAGGAGGGTGAACACACAAAACGAACCGGAAATTCCATGTGAAGAAAGGGAGAGCTAAAAATGTGGAAAAATTAATGTAATGGGACAAAAGCCAGAGCCTTCATCGGATATCTTGCAGGTGATTTTGTGAAGACGGAGTACTTCGAGTCTGTGCAGTGTTATTTTATTATTTCACATCCAGAAAGTACATGGGTGAGGTCGCCCGATTTCTTCGCCACAAGGACAGCATTAAAATTCATGTTTACAAGTAAAAAAAAAAAAGTATGGGTGGAAAAACACAACTGGTTAAGCTTTTATAAAAATTCAACAATACAACATAGGGAGAAAAATTTGTTCATGACAGTTTCACTGACCAGCCACACGGGGGCGCTGACAAACAAGTACAGCCCTGTTAAAAATCTGCTCCTCGGTGCTGGATCTCTTACTGCTGAACCTGAAGAAGCAGATCCATCCTCTCCTGCCATCCAATTCAGGCAACACTGAATCGGAAATTTAAAAACACTCCCTTTGTCTTGTGCATGACATACTCAGACATATTAAAAGCTCTGAAATCAAAACTGAAATACTGGAGCGAGACAACACCATTTAGACAAGCAGAACAGACGGATATATCTGACTCAAAACAATATTCTTTGCTTTTAAAACCTATAAATATTGATTTTTAAATGTAATACCACAATTTAGCAATAATGATCTTAAAAAAAACAGAAAATCTCTCTAATTTGGCTACTGATCTTTTATTTTCCTAACCACACCAGCTATGGAGACTGCCATCTAAGATGCCCACCTCAAAACACTTGGCACTTTGGTCACTAAACGGGAAATAAGACAGGAAGCCAGTTATTAGAGAGAGATTTCTGTCCCTGACACACAGCGCTCCACTGTTACCAGGCCTGCGAAGGAGTGAGTGCAATCCCTCCGAGAAGACGAGAGGAAGACGCATCTCGCTATTTTTCATCCTCTGCCCATCCAGGATGTGGCCCCTGCAGTGTCTCCACTCCACCACACGGGGGCGCCCTCTCTAGATCTTCTCCACGTAGTTGCCTGGAAACATGCCTTCCTTCCCCCTGAGTCTCCCGTACCACCAGCCTGAGGGATCTGGGGGTGAAGACAAGCAGGTTTCATCAGGAAGGGCATCAGAGTGGTCCTCTCCTTTCATTGAAGCAGTACAAGGTTTTAAGCTCAACCCTCGGCGCAGGTACAGAGATCACAACATTCACAGGAGCATGAAACTCTGAGAAGACCTGGAGAGGTAGGATGCTGGAAAGCTCAACCAATCGTAGAAGAGACGACAAAATCACAGGTGGCTGCACCTCCAAGGGTCAACGAAGATGCATTTCTTTTAGGGGTACCAGATAAAATAAATCGATGTTCATTTAAGCAAGCAGCTCCATCACCCTGCAGCTCCCAGCTGGCAGCCCCACTGGAGCTCAGCAGGTGTGAGCCTGCCGAGTACCTGGATGGGAGACTCCTGGGAAAGCTGAGGCTGCTGCTGGAAGAGGTGTTAGTGGGGCCAGTAGGGGGCGCTCACCCTGCTGTCTGTGTGGGTCCTAATGCCCCAGTATAGTGACGGGGACACTATACTGTAAAAAAGGCACCATCCTTCAGATGAGATGTAAAACTGAGGTCCTGACTCTCTGCGGTCATTGACAATCCCAGTGCGTTTCTCAAAACGAGTAGGGGTGTTACCCCTGTGTCCTGGACAAATTTCCCCCTGGTCTTTACCCATCATGGCCTCCTAATAACCCCCCTTTCTGAACTGGCTTCATCACTCTGCTCTCCTCCCCACTGAGAGCTGGTGTATGGGGAGCGGACTGGCACATCATCCAGGTGGGGCTGCACACTGGTGGTGGTGGAGGGGATCCCCATGACCTGTAAAGCGCTTTGAGTGGAGTGTCCAGGAAAGAGCGATTTAAAAATGATCTGTTACGCTGGAGGAGAGGCGTGCCTGTAAGGCTTTTTTTCATTTTTGCATTTCAAGTCCTCAGGCAACCTAATTACCTAATTAACCTAATTACTAACCTCCCCCACCTCTATAGCACTGCTGCTCTGAAGAAACCCAGGAACCCTGCACTGGCCGTCTGATACTGGAGTTAGATCACCCCAATCTAGAAACAGGTCTGGAGGGTTTCGATTCTGATTTTCCTCACTTCGCGACAGGGCTGATGAACGTGAAACTACTTCATCGCTCAATACCAGACGGCTCGTCGTTATCTTCTATCACGAAGCACTAATCAGTGGCATGGTTGCGAAATTTCACTTGGTTAGCTGCAACAGCTCCGTTTCAACCGAAATATCGACGCCCCCCTACAGATTTTTCCCCTGGCACCATCCCTGCCCATCTGTTAGTTTCCCTAAATATTGGTCCTAAAACAGCATGCCTACCAGTGGTGACACGTCAGCACATATACGTTCACTCGCTCAGTGGCATGAAGCTCATCAAGCAGGTCTGACAAACTCAGGCCTTCTGCTGTCTTGTGCGTGGCTTTAAATACTGAGAGTACCGTGGGCAAGATGACATTTCTACACAGCACAACAGCAGCGCCAGGTGTCTGTGGGGGCCCGCGGGTCGGAGATCCCTGGCACTGCTAGGACACGCCGCGCGCCACTACCTTCGGTGAGGATATCGATGACATCGCTGGCGTTGAAGCTGAGCTCGTCCGTGTCCTGGGCATCGTAGGCGTACAGCGCCCGGCACTGAGGGCTCTTGGGTTTGGGCTTGGGGGCCGGTTTGGGGCGACCCACCCCCGGCACGGGCTTGGTCTCTTGGGAGCGCCTGCGATGCAACCTGATGGGGAGGAGGAGACACGTCAGAGACATGTGGCCGTCTGCAGAAGCTTGGCACCTCAACACTGAAGAAAGCAATGTCATGTCCCCTTTAGACATGAAAATGCTTGGAGGACAAGAAAATGGGTCATGTGTGTTCATTCTAATTTCCTGGTGCTGGCCAGAGGAGGAGCCTTGGGTCCTCTCAAGGTTTCTTCCTACTTTAATCTGAGGGAGTTTTCCCTTTCCACTGTCGCCTTAGGCGTGCTCACTTGGGGTCCAGGCCTTGCTTTGTGACCATGTCCGTTGTAAAAAGCCCTATACAGATAAAACTGAATTGAACTGAATTGAATTGAGAGTCCATAAAATCCATCTGGGTCCTCAAAACTCCAGAAGTGCTACATACCTTAACTGTATGTGCAGAAACTGCTGCTCTGCACTAAACCCTGAAACTCGAGGGTGAACTCTGGGGGAAAACTAAGTGGGGTCTTCATGCAGAGCAGGACACAGTGTGACCAAAGCCATCTGGAGACACCTCACTCAAGGTACAACAAGCACGACCACACCTGGGATGTGATCTCACAGTTCTCCAATAAGAAGAGCAAAAACTGCTTTCCTCACACTTCACTCAGTCCTAACAGGGCAACCAGCTTTGAAAAACTCAGCTGATGGGTTATACAAAAGCCGGTATCTCTATTGGCCGGAAACACAACAGACACTGATGCAGTAAGATGCAGTTTCCTGGGGTTTGCACTGGCCAGAGAAACAAGTGCACAGGAGATGATGCCTGATGCGCGCACTCGCTGTCGCCCCCTGGCTGCCTCTGGGCTGCACTGCGTCTCACAGCTCCGAAGCGGTACTGTGACGCGAAACACTCGCACGGGATTGCGAGAGGCTCTCAGTCTCTCTCACCCTGCCACTCCCTGTTCGGGCACGTTCATGAAGTCCATGTTGGGCTGGGGCCCCTGGTGCCGAGGCTGGGGCCCGCGGTGCCGGGGCAGGGTGGGCTGGTCCACGCTGCCCTGCCGGAGCAGGAGGGACTGGCGGGTGGAGGGCTGAGGGTTCCTGGAGCCGCGCTGCCTTGGTCCCGCGCCGTCGTTCCTGAGAGAGCCTGGCGGCCCGGGAGAGGAGAGACAGGGTGAGCAAGGCAGCGAAGTTAAACCAAACACTGGCGTGCAGGAAGGCCACTGCAGTGTTCCCCCCCTCCGGAAAGATGGAAATTGGTTGAGACTGTTCCACCCCTAGAAAACAAAATCGATTGGTGGGAAGAAGCTCCGCCCACAGGTGACCTCACCATCCTGATCTCAAGAGCTCCCCCTGCTGCTGACTCGCTTATAATCCTGGGGGGACACCCGTTCACCCCTCGAACGGCACTTACCTTGTGCGTACCGTCCCGCGCTGGGGTTCTGGCTCCCCAGATAGACGCTCTTCCTCTTGTCCTTTCGGGTCGGGCCTACGGCAAAAGGCAACAGGGCAGGGGCACAGAGTCAGAGACGCGGACAGAACCCGCCCCCCCCACCCTGCTCCAGAGCTCGGGCGCGAGATCAGACTCCCGCTGTACAGCAGTCCGAGCCGCCCCGGGGTTTGAGGTCCTGCAAACAGGCAGACAGGAGTACTGACCCCGCGTCACTAAATCACTCCTTTAACTGCCCTGTTTGTTCATGCTGCCATTTCCGACATTAAACATCATTTCATTTCTTCCAGATGTCGGCTTCTTTTCTATGAAGTTTAAAGAAATGAAGGCAATAATTAACGAATGTACCTTCTGCAACTCAACTCAACTTCTGCAATACATTTGATCTTGGGTTTTCACAAGGTAAAGGAAGGACTCTTTTTTTCCCCCCAGTCTAAAAGCAATCATTTCTCTACTGAAAGCCCCAGCTGTTCTGTGTTGCCAGTCAGTGTTAGCCCAACAGGGAGAAGGAGGGATCTGTGGACACATGTCCCACCCGGCTTCCTGTCTGTGAGCTCCCAGAGTCCAACGGGGGGGTCCAGGCCGACCGGAGGAGAGGCGCAGCTCTTGCTGCGATCCCTGCAGTGTCCCTCCAACAGCAGAGAGCACCCCGACAGGCAACACCCCAACACCGGCGGGACTCAGCCAGCTGGGCCCTGCTTCTTGGGGATTGACTGGGTTTGACTGGGGCTCCACTCCGCCGGGCTGGAAATACTCCTGCTCCAACGCCCAGAGGATCCCCAGAGATTACAAGAGGAAGATCAGCCCCCCACGTTGCTTGGATGATCGGTAGGGAATGAAAACGATGGGCATGATAAGTGCTTATAAACTGCCCCCGTATCTGCGATTAACTCTTAATCACTATTCCGTTTGAGAAAGACCTCGGAGTGACGTGGGAGGCGAGAGACTCACGGGCGTTTTTGGGCAGGCCGGGCCCGATGCTGACAGTCAGGACCTTCCCGCTGGGCTTCAGCACGGCCTCGTCCCCGGGCCCCGGCGTGAACTGGATCTGCCGGGACCCCGAGGCCCCGAACGGACCCCAGCCCCCCTTCTTCACCTTGAACTCCAGCCTGGGAGGAGAGGGAATGAGACGCAGGCAGGACGAGTGAGCGCAGTGCCAGGGGAACACAGGACAACAGACTGGCAGAGGGCAAAGCTGGGTCAGAGAGTGTGTCTGAGAATGAAAAACTCTCAGACAGGCAGACAGGTCTGGGGCCTGCACACTCACAGGTTGTTGAACTTGAGGGGCAGTTTGCGCTGGCAGCTCTCCTCGTAGCGCTTGTACAGCAGGCTGAGGAACTCCGTCTTGAAGGTGCTCTGGAGGACACTGTCATAGCGCTCCTCGTGGATGATGAAGAAATCATCTTGTAGGGTGCTGGAGACGAGAGTGAGTCCATCTCAACTTCCTTAGGCTTTGCAAGGAGCGTAAAGGTGGGGTTGCCGGCTTCCATCGTATGAAAGTATTTAAAAGACTCTTGCGCTGATGCGACAAACATATCAACTGCAGGAAGAGCTCCGCAGGGACACGCCGTTACAGTGACTGACCGGTTCATTGGTCTAGCAGGTTCACTGCTCTCCAAGCTCTTTCGTTGACAGTGTTCTGTGACATTTTTTAACTCTGACAGTGGATGTCTCTCTCAGAACATTGCGCGAAACAAGTCTGAGAAACCTACTGACATTTGCACCATCCGAGTGCACAATACTTTTAAAAAGCAGCACGGAGGGGCACCAGGAGGCAGTGTATAAGGGGGTAGAGCACTGTTCAGGTTGGGGCAAGATTAGATGAAGAGGGGCTTCTCTCAGATTTTGACAAGACAGGGAATCCTATGCCTGGAGCCTCACATCAGTGAGAGAGTCGCTGCTTCTCCAGTCAGTGCTGACTCTTCTGCAAGGCATCTTGGAGCACATAGTGTGTCAGAGGACAGCAGGTCACCTCAG